TTCTATGTTGGCTTCATTTTTCCCGGATGCCACTTCCATCTTTTATATACAGAGAAGGATAAGCTGCAACGCAGTAAAAAACACAGAAATGGAATGATATTATAATGATAGCTTAGCCACCTCAACTGTGCTGACAAATATTAAAAATAGGTGCAACAAATACCAATGAGGCATCATTGTTCATTGAGAAGTCCATGTGAACACACAATTAATATCACCAAGCAATAACTAACAACTAATGGAAGGAAACTCATGCTATCTCATTACATTTGGATGAGTAATGGCTCCACATTACTGAAAAAATGTGGTCTGAAAACACTGTTCTTGGCACCACTGATAACGTCAGTAAGATGGGCTAAATTGCTTACTATTTTACAGTTAGATGGATGCTGCATCTAGTGCCTGACTCATATTTCTCATCAACGTATTTCTAAACAGTCTCGGTGCCTATCAAAACACACTGACAACACAGAAAGAGAGAATGCAAACAGGGCTGCACACTCCCAAAGAGGAAGGTGATGTCATCTGATAATAACCATGCCGTTAAGTGAGAGAAAAGCCGAATCTGGCAGGAAAGTAAAGTTTTCAGGAGAATCAGCTGCTTTACTTTAATCTGTTCCAGTTTCCAAGACTGAAAAACACAGATTACATAACAGCAGACCTCTGTGCATCCCTGGGCCTCTAAGTATGTGTGCAGTTGCTGCAGTGGAGTTTGGCTCACTTTGAATTTGGCTGGAAATCACACAGGTCTCCAAGTTACAGTCCAACACACACACCGTTTACTGCAAAACAGCTCCAGTGAGAGGTACAAGGTCTCAGTGTGTCAGACAAGCCAAGAGCTGATGTAATTATAGCAATGCAAATGAAATTCCATTCCTTACTCGAGGAATAGGAAATATTTTTGAATCTGACTTCCTCGGGGTGATACTCATATTCGACAGAAATCACATCTTTTAAAACAAATGTCAGCAGCTACGTTTCATGTTTCTGAGGCTGGATCTTTATATATATATTACAGCAGATACATTTCCTAGACAGTTCATTAGGTACGACTTGCTAGTAGCAGGTTGGACCCACTTTTGCTGTCAGAACTGCCTTCTTCATCCAAAAAGCTTCGTCAGATTCTGGTCCATGTTGACATGATGGTATCACAAAGTTGCAACAGATTTGTCGGCTGCACATTCATGATGCAAATCTCCTGCTGCACCACATACCAAAGGTGGTGTAATGGATTGAGATCTGGTGACTATGGAGGTTATTTGAGGACAGTGAACTCACTGTAATGTTCAAGAAAGCAACTTTACTCAGTGTGTCAAGAAAATATCTCCCACACCATTACACCAGCAGCAGCAACGTGAACTGTTGATACAAGTCAGGGTAGATCCATGATTTTATGTGATTTACATTAAATTCTGACCCTCCCATCCTAACACTGCAGCATCATTTTTCCAGTCTTTTATTGTCCCATTTTGAGCCCTTGTTAAATCTAAACTCTTAGCTGACAGTGGCATCTATTGTGGTCTTCTGCTGCTGTAGCCCATCTGCTTCAATGATCGACATTTTCTGCATTCAGAGATGCTCTTCTGCAGCTCCAATCAGTCTGCCCATTCTCCTCATGGAGATTGTCTCTTTAGATGTTTGTCTTAACAAGGAGCTTGGAAAGAAAAGCGGCTGGACTTTTTTAAGTTTCCTGAAGATGTTTCACCGCTCATCCGAGAAGCTTCTTCAGTTCTAAGATCAAATGGTGGAGAGTTCCAGATATTTGAGCAATAGTGGGAGTTGCCCCTTAAGAGGGTCTTTGGCTCATTATTAATCATGTGCCTCATCGCACGAATTTTGGGTGAAACCAGTGTGAGACCTTGCCTCACCCCATCATATGACTGATCATGTGGATGCAAGATGTGAGTGGATCTAAAAACTGGGCTGTAGATGGCAGACAGCTGGTGTCATAAGCAACCTGTTCAAGGCTGATTGTTCACAGTGGACACAGATGACTTCTTTCAACCTTCTTTTAGGCCATCTTACTTCTCTTGGTCTTATAACTAAAGAGGTTTCTCAGATGAGAGGTCAAACTTCTTCAGGAAACTTAAGCCCCTTTTCCATTAGTACCTACTCAGATCGACTCGTTTTCCATTACAATCTAGTACCATTTAATGTGCGTGGTCGGCAACGTGGCCGAGCGTCCCGTGACTTAATTAGTATGCAACATGAATGCTAGAACAAAGGTGGACATCGAGGGGACGATATACCTGCTGCTCAGTCTGCGGCATTTCGTCAAACCTCGCTGCTGTTTTTTGTAAACATTTCCTCGCTTCCCGGTTTAAAAAATGGCAGTTTTTATTTTTGTGAACTCATTGAGGGCTGCTACTGACCAGCCAATCTGTGGCTTGCAATTGGCATTGGTGGTAGTCTGATGACGTCATATTTTAGTACCTGCTCACAACGCTTTGGAACCCGGCTGTGCAGGTATTAATTTAGTACCTGGTACCCAGTAATGTGACCTAATGGAAAAACCCTAAAAACTGTGTGTTAAGAGATATATTCTAAAACACTTCTTCAGCAGAGAATCAGAGAGGAGAAACACACAGATTTTCTTGCTAGCAAGGGCAGTCACCAGGACTCACACACCAAGAGTGAGGTTCAGAGACTAACCAAATGAGAGACTGCCCCGGTCTTTATTTATACTCAGTGGGTGTTGTTCCTTACATTGGATGTGGAGGTGTCGTGTGTGTGTGTGTGTGTGTGTGTGTGTGTGTGTCAGAGTGTGACCCCATAAACGACTTCCCTTAACCTGCTGGTCTGGAAAATCCAACAGTTCATCTATATGTAAAAAAGCACTTAGACTAAAACTGACATAGCTACGTTAATCCTACCGTAAAACAATAAGACAAGGTACGACCTCTCCCATGCTCCTAGGATGTGGGGGTGAACGCCAGAACACCCTGGAATGTTACAGACCTCCTAGGATGAGACATTCTTTCAATATGCCACCAACTATATACTTCAAAACACAAGTGATTACATGCAGTATTCTACCATATGCAAACTTATATCATTAAAAGATTATACTGACTACTAAGTACAATTTTCCATTGACACTGTAGCAAGTCAATCTGAGTAGGTTCTAATAGAAAAGGGGCTTTAAACAAGTCCCACCACTTTTCTTTCCATGTTGCTTGGATTACCATGACTTGGATGGCTGAGAACCCAGACAGACACAAGCAGCTGAGCAGGTGTGGCTTATTATATACAGCCCACTCCCACCCAGGTATGAATGATTGGTTGACTATTCGAAACATAAATGTTAATGTTTTTTTGTTTTTTTACTCCCACTACTTTATTACTATCTATTCTTAAACATTAGTACTCTCTGAGCTTTATTACACTATAACTTCACAATCTTTATCATTATTAGGCAGGTTAGAGAATACAAGACTTTGTGATGAAACTGAGTTAAGGAAGGCCTTTTTTTTCCTGTTAAACCTACTGTGTTGTATTTTAAAGGAAAATAAAATCTCAGTAGTGCTTTAAATAATGGATTTCTACAGATAGAGGACAGTCAGAAAGTTCAGGCAGCAGCCCCTCGGTAGGCAGCCCCTAAGTTGGCCAATCAGAAAACTGTTGGATTTTAAGGAGTTTGTTTCAGATGGAGCGTTCAGTGATGAGCTTGTAAAGGGCTAATAGGAGATAGACAAGGGTTTTTCTGAACTGAAAATAAAAAGTGACTCTTTGTGACTCCAAAGAATGAAAATGAGTGCAACAGGTGTCCTTTAAGACAAGTGTAGCCTTATTACAAACGTTTAAGAGTCATACTCTTTAACTCAAGGATAGACTGTCGCAGAGTTAAGCCAGCAGTGTTGTGAAATTTCTGAAACACCACATCTGTGTGATCCAGTTTAAATACTGTGAGCCATTTGAATCCTCACACACCCACTAGGCATCATTTTTGTGATACGCAGGTGAAAAGGCATCAGGGTTTTAATAAAACTGGGCTAAACCTCAACGTCTGTGCGTGTGGCAGATTCGAACTGCACGCTGAAATACAGCCACAGGATTGTGGCTTAAAATGGCCGTTATTTTTAACCAAGGCAGGACAAATACTCATGAAATCTAGCCTACTTTTACCCCGTTTCACACCAAAACCACGCCACTGGGCGCCGATGCCCAAAGCATAACACAGAGAAATTATATGAGGACCTTTATTCTAACAGGGATGTGGTGTTTTTCTGGACAGCAGCAGGGTGGGTGCATGAGATCTTCAAAACCCCAACACACAGCCCTACCCACTCAGGAAAGCCCACACAATGAATCCACACTAATCCCATCTTTTGTGGTGCTCCCTATGTCTCAGCGTGGCTGCACCTCATGCCTCAGACATGCTGCTCCACCATCACAGCCTAAAACTGCCTTTATGTGCAGTCACAAACAGGAACATAAACAATACGGCTCAGAAACTTCTCCACTTGATGCACAAAACAGCCCCTAAATCCAGGACCCCCCACGCCTATATACATGAAGCAATCACAGACGCCTTTTGTTGTCCTTCATAACAACTGTACCATCAAACTGACAGCAAACATAAAGCCACGCAGGAAGCAAGCACTCCATGGAGAATAAAGGCTCACAAGTACAAAACCTGAGCTGAAGCAAACAAGGTAAACAAAGCATGTGATCAGTGTGGTCACCTGAAACAACAATAGACTCACAGAACACGTGCTTCAAACATCCCACAGCCCCAAAACTGCAGGAGTTGGACAGATAATAGAAAAACCAGACGAAAATAACACTTGTGCAGAGATCAATAATTTTTGTTTTTGTCCCATTAATAGCAAATTAAAACCTCCAGAAATCCCGTTCGCCTTTAAATTAAGTTTTCACAAGACAGGCTGAACCATGAATGACATTTACTTTCTTCTATTATCACACCTAAATTCAAAAAATAACAATAAGCATTTAATATATAAAAGCAGAGATGGACGCAGGGCGCGGGGAGCTCTTACCGGGCTGCTCGGGCTGCTTCTTTAATTCACTTTATATTCCGTTTTCCCGACAGTCGCTCGCGCGTCTCTCAGACACAAATCTCAAACCTCACTTCCATGTGCTCGCGACCAGGACCACGCGCTCAGAGGTGGAGGGGGGGGGAGCGCTCGGGATACGGCGTGTGTGACGTCACGTTGAGTCTGGAAAGCCGCTCGAGACAACGGTGGAACAGGTGGGGTTTTACCACGGTCTAACTAGATAAACTTCACCTCGTTATTCATTTATTCCAACGTAGACAGTTCATATTACATTTAAATATAAAGATATAACGTATATTTATATCTAGATATTTATTATCTGTGGTTTTAGATTATAAACGAGCTTTCGAGTTCCCGTGCTACACTTTTATTAGTGTGCTACTTTAAGAAATGTGATCGCAGATGCGCTGTTTAATGCACCAGCCCTCATCTAAAAGACAGCTTCACTATACCTGCGTTTAAACATGACATGCAGTTTCCCACCTTTCTGTGCACTTCCACAAGCATCCAGGACTCGTATTAAGGAGCTGAGGTGGCTTCTTCTAAGTCTGAAGAGGAATTCCCTCTTTTCTGCACAAAACACGTGATCAACGTTTTTGTTTTTTTTAAACCATTTATGCAGATTTCACTTAAAATTCACTGCAGCAGGACTTTTACACAGCGTGTACTCTTATTTAGGTTTTGACCCTTACCTTCCATCAGTGAGAGGAGTGACTCAAAGTTTTATAACGCTCAGATAAGTTTTCTACCCAACCACTCATTTTCTAATGTATTCATGTGGACGCCCCCTACTCAGGTGTGACTGAGTGGCTAGTCATGGTGGTGAAGAATGAGAGACAAGCTCAAGAAACAGGTTTTTGTTTTATATTTGAAAAAGAATCTATGAACATAATGAAAAAAAACAAAAACAGTGGGTCTGAACATCCAGACAATCGCAATCCAAAAATACATTTTCTTAGGAAATATTAATTATGTACAAAAAAAACAAAACAAGAAAAAACAACAACATAAAAATCCATATTTTAAGTTCAGGCTTTCAACAGTGTGAGCCACATTTTTAAACATTTTATTAATAAAATAAAACTTTTAAATATCTTCATCAGATGAGGCAGTTTTTTTCTTCTTACATTGTAATCAAACCAGATTCCAAAACAACTTAATCCGTTTTGCATCTGCATGCAGCAACAACTGTACACACCCAACCCCCCCCCAACCCCCAAGTAATGAACTTTTATTTTGAGAAAAAAATTTAAAAAAAGTTTATGATTCAAAGTTTAAGCACGGCAACCCTGCAGGTGTGCGAGTCTCTGCTTTAACTGTTCGCTTCTCCTCCTCAGCTGCTCTTTCAGAGAGAGGAGTCTCTGTTCGTCCGACTGCATGCTGTAGATGCACTCCGTGGCCTTCTTCAGGATGACCACCTTGGCCGCCTTCTCGTTGTTGGCCACCTCGGGGATCTCGTCCCGCAGAGCGAAGAAGCTCAGCTTCAGCTCGTTCCTCCTTTGGCGCTCCAGCACGTTATGAGTCCTTCTCTTGTCGTAGTCCTCCGTGTCCGACGTTCGCGGGCTGGAACACTTGCGGTTGCTGCTGATCTGTTTGAGGACCCTGCTGTGGCTGCTGGCACCTCCACCGCTGCTCTCCAGCTTCAGCCTCTTGACAGCCGGCTGCTCGTGCCTCATGGATGGATGGGCGGCGTAATTATGCTGGTGGGTGGAGACGTGGCACCTCTTCAGCACGAGTGGGCTGGGGTGCCTGGTCTCCAGCGGGCTGGAGTCGCACCGTTTCACCACCTGCCTCTTTTCCACAGTGACCACGTCGATTTCCTCCTCTTCCTCCTGTTCGTCCTCTTCTTCCTCCTCCTCCTCCTCCTCCTCCTCCTCCTCATCATCATCACCTTCATCCTCTTCCTCTGCAAAAGAGCAAAAACAACACAGTCACACACTCTGCTGCCACATCGGGGTTGTAATCCTCCTCTAAAAGCATCTCTGCAGTCCGTTCAGGCTTTCCCTCTCTGCCACATCAGTTGATTGCTTAACATGCAGCCATTCCCTCCAGCTAATCTCACAGCAGTCTACTGCATGACATGGGGTGGAAGTGGCAGCAGGATCCACCTTCCTGCCTGCAATTCGTGTGAATGAAAAGCAAGAATGTGCCTCATTTCAGTCATAATGTCATGCATGTCCCCGCCAACAGAAAGAAAATCCCTAATTGCACTGAGGGGTGTGCCTCCCCAGGCATATATATAAGAGCTCACCTGAATCGCTACAACTGCTGCTGCTCCCGCTGCTGTTAGGCGGCGTGTCCAGTCCCAAATCCTTGCTAGGCGGGGTCCCTGCGCTCTGCTTGGGCGTCTCGGCTACGGGATACGGGAAAACCACCGAGGGGTCGATGCACTCCGACGCAGACGTGTTCAGGTCTTGCAGGTAGCTGCTGTTCAGTTTCCACGCAGGAAGAGCCGTAGTAGCGGCGGCGGCAGCCGCGGCGGCAGCAGCCGCGGGGCCGGCGGGCTCTGCGCAGTCACCGGCCGCAGACTCCTTCCGGGCGGCGTGCAGGGAGGCGAGCCGCTCGGACACCACCTTCTTCAGCTTGGCGGCGGCGGAAAAGCCGCTCCACATGCAGTCCTGGATGATGATGGACTTGAGGAAGGTCTGGGAGTAGTCGGAGTCGCAGATGATGCTCTGGTTGACCACGTCATCCCCGAGGAACTCGGTCACCATCTCCAGCTGATCCGCGATGGAAAGGTCGAGGCTGGACAGGGACGGCCGGCGGCTCGGGGAGAGGGGAGGGGTCGGCAGCAGTTCAAATTTCTTCCAGATGTCTTCGCTGGGTGCCGGAGGCTGAAACTGCTGAGGGTAGAAATCCTCCTCCTCGTCGTCGTAGTAGAAATAGGGCTGCAGGTAGTCGTAGTCGTAGTTCTTACTCGCCAAACTTGGATTCCGCGGCATGGTGCGTTTGGTTTCGTCTCTCCTCACGGCGAGGCTGGCGAAAACAGAACGGAGCGATTAGTCGATTCACAGCAGAGAGCAGACAGCGTGACCCTGCCCGCAACACCGAGTGTAAGCAGCCGCTTCATGGTCAACTCCCTCCAAAAAAAAAAAAAAAAAAAAAGACAACATCGACACCTCCCCCCCCCCTCTCTCTCTCTCTGTGCACGCCTTGCATGCATGCATGCGCCACTGCTGCAGGTGCTTAACCGGGATTGTAATTTAAATAATGCAAGAGACTGAGTGAGGAAAAAAAATTAATAAATCACACTTTCACTGAACTGTTCCAGTCATCACACTCATACCGAAGCTCCACAAACCCACTCCCCACCCTTACCTTTCAGATTTTCAACTGTAGGCGAAAGACGGGAGCAAAAAAAAGCGAGCCGAGTGGCGCAAAAAGAGGAGGAAAATGTAAAAAAAACGAGGGAGCAGCAAAGTTATTCCAGTGCGGCAGTGACAGTAAATCCTTCCACAGAGGCGGTACGGCGGCTGTCTGTCAGCCTGCGGGTGAAGCATGCATGTGAAGTTAAAAGGCTGCAGAGGCGAGCCGGCAAGAGCGACGCGCACTCTGTCATCAGCACAGTCAGAATCGCAGCTGAGAGTTGAGCACCGCGCGATAAAGTAAACCGCATCTCGCACTCTCTCTGTCTGTATCCATCCGCGAGAGCGTTCCTACTACAACACAACACACAGCACCCCCCGATATCAGCCTCTGCCCATCAGCGCAATTATTCAGCCGTTTGCGTCAAGTAAAAATCGCGTGCGTCCAAAGTACGCCGTGGATGCATCTTTGCATATTTTCTGCCCTCTTTCTCTGAGATGGGTCTATTTTTTTTTGCAAGTGGGAGGGGTCAGAGTGGAGTAGAGTAGTGCTTTCATTGACTGCATAGAGAAAATACTAATGCATGTAGTAGTGGCAGATAATTGGGCTGAGTTATTTTACTACTACTGCGCCAGAAATATACGCAAACACTGAGCGTCATAGCGCACACACGGCAATCCCTAAATAATCAGTCCACAGATCCGGATTACGGCCTTACACTATATTATATTGTTTAAAAAACAAAACAATACATAACAGCAGGAATCCTTTTTTAAACTGTAAATGTGCAATAATGTGTAAAAATGAGGCAAGCGCCGCATACTTTTGCGCAGTTTGTGCCTTTTGATTTCGCAATAAAAGCTCACAGGTGCAGCAGGAGCTGCAGACACTGACAGCTCTGAACCGGTTCAAACAGCTGATTACAACGTGGACTCGGTGAAGAATTAAAATCTTGGAGTTCGAGTTAATACACACAGACTCACAGAGAAAATGTCCAATACAAATCCTGCAGACTGCGTAATGCAGCGCTGAGTTTGGACAGATTGGCACCAATTAACAACAGGAAGGAAGCAATTAAAGGAATCAGATGGATGGATCTATCCCGTTGTAACAGGAGCTGTCGATGGAGATTAACGGGCTTAGAGCGCCCTCTGCTGTTTGAAGCGTTGCAGGAGCAGACAGCAGCTAGGTGGGTGGAAGGTTACAGATTGAGACAGGTGACCACAAACCTCACAAATCCTGCAATCATGCGTGAACAAAGATTATTTTTTTTATGAATTGAAAGGGAAAAAAACAGGGTCGAGTGAGTTAAACTATAAAAGGGTCAGGGACAAAATAGCCCAATTCAGTGGGTTGGTGCAGATCTTTATTGGGGTTAGTGGGTCACTTCATTAAAAAATAGAGTGGAGAAGCAGTAAATGGCACATTTAATTAGCAATGCACTGTGTTTGACGAAGTCGGTTGCAATTTGATATTTAATGGCAACACCAGCTCCTGCCATTCTGACAAAGTTAATTGGTTAAAAATGCTCAGTAGGCTTTTCCACCCTCTTTCTCTCTTACTGTTGTCAGGCATCCTGCTAAACAAATTGCTAAAGCAATGAGTTGGACTCAAGCAGAGTGTGTATTTCATTACGCATGACAGACATTAAGAAGCATTTTAAAACACGAGGCTGTGGACACAAGCAGCAATTATAGGAAACGACAAAAGCATAAACGGTGAAGGAGTTTTGTGCTTGAAAATACAATCATTTAAATTGAATTACATGGTGCAATTTGCACTTTTTAAAAACACACTTTTATCAATCCAGGACAGCAGCTCTGAGTGTGTTACTGCTGCAAACGGCCCTTTTACTCTTTTTTAAACACTTCTTATATAACAGAGTCCTGTTGGTTATAACATAAAAGACCTCTTTAATGAAAACGATCTGTGATTATGTGTTTAGTGACATCATCACTGCAGCTTTTTCCCCTTCATAACAAATTATTTTCAGTTTGTTTGAAATCAGTCGGGGCCGTGGAGCTGAAACGTCTGGACTGAATTCTGAGCGTTTCATTTTGATCTAAGTTACACTTAACTAATTAAACACTTCGCCATGGACGCTGTGTCACTGTGAGGCCTTACATTTAAATGAATAGATAACCCCGCAGCATCACTTACACGAGTATACTTTTTCCTTTTTCATTAAATAATGTATAAGAAACCACATAAGCAAAGACAAAGGAGACAAGAGGAGGGGGAAAGCAAAGAAAATCCCCAAGTTGAAACTACACCCTCCGTCCTTCCCTTCATACTCATTCCTTCATCCGTTCTCTCACGCCTCTCCTTTCCCCGCTGTGGGATGCTTGTGGAGGATAGCGATCATAACCACCAGGTTCAGGCGTTATGGTCGTGGCGTTTATCGGCTCCGGATGTTTCTTGTGTTACCGTGTTTGAGAGCGCCTGCATGGAGACACAGAGGGAAGCTTTGAGAGCGGCTGGAATGGTTTCCTGTGATAAGTGAAAGCTCAGGAGAGATTTTGATTGTGTGTGCGTGTGTGTGTTTTCTTTCTGGTTAAACTTCCTCCATGGACTCTGACTGACATGGAATAACCTGCAGAGGATCGAGGGCAGAGAATCCAATCTAGTTTGGCTTTGGTAAACTGATAAACAGACTCAAACATCTGACATGAGTTTTTAGAGATATGCACAATTTTTCATTGTCTACTCTAAAAAATGAAATGGCAACTCACAATATGTTTAAAAAAAAAAGAAAAAAAAGCCAAAGCAGGTAGTCCCATTGCTTTAAGAGGACATGATTAAGTTCAGCTTAAACACAAACGAAGATTATGCAGAAGGTCATGTTCAATTGAAAATGTTTAAATTCACCTTATGTCATTCTTTTTTAAATATCCTTTTCTAAACCTGAATATCAAGTTTAAATATTAAACGCTGAAATCAGACACATAACTAAAATGGTAAATAGACCGATTCTTAAATAGCGTTTTTCTGCTCTACCTTAATTCCATCTATGCAACTTTTTTCTATGCCTAACTACTGCATATCTAACATTCACACAAAACCACCAACCACTATCCTTCCCATTAGTAGATGACCTGCTCTACCTTCTGAGCTACACCTGAATCCCTTCAAACTAGCACAACTGGCAAGAACCTGCAACACAAGCGTTACGTGTTTCAAATAACCGAAAAGGTTGTCTGCCTAGGGGAAATTACAGTGAGGCTCTTAGCTATAGCTTACTCCAACACTTCAAGTCATTTACGGTCGTACTACCACTCTGCTACCTTAAATACAAAAACAATGCCTGACGGTTCTTGTTTATTATACCAATAAATACTACGCTTACAGCAATGCCGCTTAATGCTTTCTCATTGATATCGCATCAAAATCCTACCAACAGTAACATGACCAGGGGCTTTTATTGACACCATGTGAATTAAGCTAGCAGTAACTCATTCTTAAACTCAATCAAAGTATACAGAGAAACACATAAAAACTAATAAACTACTTCTTCATCATCTCCAGCTGCAAAAGGTTGATATAAAAAAAATCGCTTTTCCCCAAAAAGAGTCTGAGTTTGAGGATGGCAGGTCTGCCAGGTCGAGGCCTAGTTTTCTGAAAGTGAGGTGGTTATGTTAATCTGAATCTGGAGTATTTTTTAGCATTAACATCTCATACTATTACTTTAATACTAAGAAATCTGCTTATTTTTAGTATAAAAAACTAATAAGTTATTGTAATGTCACCATAAAACAAAATAGATGTAATGTAAACAACATCAGCCCATTTTGAGCTTAAGTGGACTAAACTGGTCAAACTGGTGACTATGAGCTTAAGTGGCTTAAGGACAATAATGCATCTCAGTTTTTCTATGTTACAAAGAAACTAAACTTAAGGAAATGGAGCCATAACACTGCAGATGAAGTGCTAACAGCTCATCATCATCCCTGTGCCTGCACCGTTTGTCTCCAGCTTGCTCACACAGACCAAACACATGCACATTATGGTGACTGGCCATAGGTGTGGATGTGGGCCTGAATGCTTGCATGATTTATGCTGTAATAGTTTGTCACCTCACTTCACAGATATTACATAAATCCAAACCTAAATTCTCAGGTATGCACTTTAGATGTGGTATAAATATGGGTTCTTTTGTGCATCTGTCTTTGTATAAATGTTGGTTTCTTGGGGTATCATCTCTGCAATATAATGGCTAATATCTGGGGAATCACTGCCTTTAGATCCTGAATTGTGTTTACTAGCATCTAGTATCTGTGAGCAAACATCAAGCAGAATTTGTAGAGGTCACCTTAAGCCAGGAAATACACTGCAACAGCACAGAAGTTGTACTCCTTTAGAAAAAAATCACAAAGTTCTCCCCAATAAAACAACAAATAAAAGATATCACAACAGTGTAAAGCAAAATGCTACTTAAACAACAATTTAATTAAACGCTTGTCTATAAAAAATGTCTTCAGCTGCTTTTTACAAGAGTCACTGGTATCTTTACAGTGTGGAGACCGTGGAAGAGATGTCCACAAGCCCAATCCCCACACGTTTTAAAGGTACGACCTTAGACGGTGTTACCTGATCTTAAAAATCTTAATAGCTTAATAAATGTAGCAAAAAAAAAAAATAGAATAGCAAACATTAGATGGCATTAAGTGGCTCTCTATAAAACAGTGTGAAGCGTAGTGGACAGTGCAGTAAGGAATCATAATGTGTGTTCACATGTTGTGAGAGTGTAGGGCTGACATACAAGATGACTCTGTGTCGCATTATAGAGTTACTGTATGAGGTATGAAAGCTTTCCTCTATCTGTCCTCGTATCTGTTAGCCAAGGTGCTTTCTGGTGACCTGTCCAGTAAGTGGGACAGTGGGTGGTCAGGATTATCCATGATGGATGACAGTTTGTTCAGTAACCTCATCTCCAAAAGTGCCCGTTGTGCAGCCAGTCACAGAGCCAGCCTCCCTGATGAATTTATTCAGTCCAATGCTGCCCTCCCAGAAATTTCTCATATTTTCATATGATTTCTCTTTTATGTACTGAGAGTGAAAAAAAAAATGCTTCTTCAATTCTTCCAGTGGCCAGGTTATTTATTTATTCATCTATCTGGTTATATTTGATCTATTGTATCAGAGTTAGCATAAAGCTAATTTGCACCTACAGTCCCTTGGGAGGTTACATGCAAAAGATCACAAAAATAATAGAACAACCGCACGGCCATAAGCCTCGAACAACAAAAAACAGCCATCGATGTTTACGAGTCTGTGAGTCTTTGAGCAAATATTTCAGTCTGTTTTTAAAGCTGGGGAGCCCTGGGTCTATTAGATATACAGTCTAGTATAAGTGGAGGTGTCTGCGGCTCAGGTGCTAGCCACAGACGCCTCATTTACTCTAACTGTTGAATTAATCGTGAGAACTGGTCTCCTTCTTGTGACCCACATCCTGCTCTTCTGGGCTTACCTCATTTCTGATCTGCTCACTCTCACGTGCAGCGCGTTCAGCAGAGGCGGGGATGTTGACATCTGTGTGGAATTTAAGCTTTGATGGAAACTTGGAGCATTTCCTTTAGTATAAACCTTCACCTGGACTTCACTTCACTTGCCTACATTTTACAGTTTTGGTTACAATATTCATGCTGAAAATCAATAAAAAAATTTAAT